ATGACTGCGTCTCTGGACACCCCCAAGGGAACAGGGAGACTGCCAGACAGCCCAGAGGAAAGCATTTCTGACACTGAGAGGTGGCCACTCAAGGCCGAGCAAGTGGAGGATACCCCTGGGGAGGAAACCAGGCAAAGGAGAGATGAACTAAGCCAGGAGTCTGGGCCTCAGGTAGAACAGCGCTCCATGCCAAGCCAGGCCGAGCATGATAGGATGGAGCTGGGATCAAGGGCTGCATTCATGCAGGAGGAGAGTGCTCTAGACAGCCTCCTTGACCAACCCCCTGAGGATATAGAGATGAGACCTGTAGCATTAGCCGTAGGGAGCAATGAAGGCTCCCAGGAATTCGCAGAACTGATGATGGATGAGCTGGTGACAGAACCAGGTCTTGAAGAGTTTGAGCACCCAGAAAATTTAGCTCATGAAGGAATTGGACGTATAAGTGATATAGAAAAGTTAATTACACGCAAAGCCTTTGTAAAGTTTGCATTTGAAAGTAACTCGGACATTGAGAGACTATCAAACCTGATACTGAGCCTGGGACAATATAACTATGCTGGCAGAACGTACCCAAAAGTCCCATTATGGCTACGAGACCAGACTGAGAAAAACCTCAGATGCTTCAACTACCACATGCAAGGACATATTGCATATAACTGTCCTGAGACTGAAGAGCCAATACAATGTGACATAGGAATAAGGGCTCTGCATAGGATAGTATTGCCTTGCTTAAAGATGTGTATGGTGACTGGTGGTGGTGTTACAGCACAGCTAAAAGTGGTGATGGTGGTAGAGAAGAGTGCACAAACATTGATAGATTCAAGGAGTGAGGTTACTTTGAAAAGTGTTCTGCTCCAGCCAGAAAAATGTGATTTAAGACAAGTGTTTGATATTGTGGGTACACATGGTGACACCCGCACATACCCCATGGCAGAGGTAGAGTTTGCCACAGAGGTAGTAAAAGTTAAATGCCCTGTAGTACATGTAGCTCAAACACAAGAGCGTATAGGTAAGGCCAGGTTTCTGAGTACCTTGGACCTGGTCATAAGGTATTGGCAGGTTCCCCTGACAGAGACAGCAAAGGGAAGGACAGCGTTTTCTACTCCCAAGGGGTTATGGCAACATAAAGTACTGCCATTCAGGTGGCGTAGTGCACCAGCCCCCTTTCAGCATATGAATAAGATACTTTGGCCCCACGGAGAGAATGCCGCTGCCTACCTTGGTGATGTGGCGATTCACAGGGTGGACTTGGAAGCACACCTGATGAAGGTCCAGTTAGTTGTGAATAATGTAAGGGCTGTCGGTCTGACCGCTAACACTAAGTGTTATCTAGGATTTGAGGCAGCTAACTATTTGGGTTGTCCGCTTGGGTGGGGGTTCCTTAAACTACAAGGGAGCAAGGTAGCAGCCATCTACAATAGGCCACTTTCTGTAACTGAGGAGCAAGTCAGGGCTGGTACAGCCCCAGGTGACGTGAACATTCGTGGTTTGTGTTCTAAGGTCGCTCGACCCGATGGGTCTGAGCTGGGGGGGAGGATATGTGATAAAGTGAAGGCAGATAGGCCTTTTAACCCCAGGGGGAGTATGTGTAGTTTGTGTTTTGCACAACACAACGCATTGTTTAGTTATGGGCCCCTGGGGTGGAGCATTTGGAGAGAAGGGTGGGCCAATGCTCCACTCCACAGTTTAGTGGTGTTCTGGGGAGACCTAGATCCAGGCCAGGGTTTTTTGGACTGTCTCCAACCCACTGCTCAGCTGCAGGTAATCAGCTGTTGCAGTGGGAATAAACTCCTCCCGGCTAGGCAGGAAAAGGAGAGGGATTGCTGGCTTCCTCCCGGGAAGCAGGTAGGAGAGAGAGAGGCTGTTCTCTCCAGATAGTCAGGGCAAGGCTGGCTTGGAGCACTGGGAGTGCAGAAAGGAATGCAACAGGCTAGGCAGCAGAGTGTTGCTAACTAATAAGGTTGGTGCAATATTGTGTTTAGTTTAACCCTGAGAGATAGGGAACTAATGTCAGTTAGTGCTCAGACGAGCTAGGTGTTTGTTTATAGGGTTTTCTGTTACTTTTGTTTTTCATTTTCTGCTGTATCCTGTGTGGATTTGCAAATAAAGTGCCTGGAGTATGTGCAACTACAAGGACTGTGCATGTTTTGCCCTAGAGGACCGTGCTACCTGGTGACAAGGATCACAGTGTGTATTTAGCAGTCTGTGTGTGTATTCAGCAGACTGTGTACTCAGCAGTCTGTGTGTGTATTCAGCAGTCTGCTAAGTACACAGACAGACTGCTAAGTACACAGACAGAGATGTTAATTAGTTCGGACAACTGTATGAGTTGTTTTTTCGAAACTTAAACCTCAGTATTCAGGTTTAAATGCCGTTTTGGCACTTTGAGGGAAAAAAAATTGGCATGTATTACGGTTTGGGCACTCGGGCTCAAAAAGGTTCGCCATCACTGCTATAGAGGTTTAAATTTGTTAACCTTTCTTCATATATAAAATGTTCCATTCCTTTTATTCATTTTGTAGCCTGCCTCTGCACTCTTTTTAGTGCCATAGTATCCTCCTTTAGAACAGGTGCCCAAAATTGCACAGCATATTTAAGATGTTAATGCATACAAGATTTAACTCAGCAGTGTGTGATTAATAGACATAAGATGTTGTATTTATTTTTTCCCAGTTCAAGGTGGAATTTTTTTTAGTTAGATAGCTTTGTTGATGTTGTGTTTTTATTTTTTTTAATTTATATGCCATCCTCTATTTAAGAAGTGTTAGTTAGCCACATTCACCACCAGCGACCTTTTCAGAGTTACTGCACAGTCCCATAGGCTATGGTTGGCACGGTTTACTAGATAGAGCCCAGACTACAGTAATAAACTGAGAATGTCCGAAGCAAGGTACATGCAAGCATAAAGCAAAGACAAGGTCAGGCAGGCAATAGGTCGGGTCAGGTAGCACAGATTCTTAAACAGGAGACAAGCCAAAGTTCAGGTACAACATATTCAGAGAAGGCGCAAAGACTAACTGATTACAGCAAGGAGTACAGAATACTGAGCACAGGTATCAGGTATGAGCAGGTTTAAATGGGAGAAAATGGACACACCTCCTTAGGTGTCCTACCTAACTCTTGGGTACTTCCCCTTTAAGAATTCACATGATCGGCAGGCACGCCTTTAGTCTGATGATTGTGCAGGGTTCTTAGGTTGGACCTGAATGACCAGCATGGTCTGGTATTTTGCAGCAAGGAGCTGTAAAGGTAAGTGTTGGGCCGGGCAAGGGTATGACAATTGTGCTCAGCAAGTTACATGGAGATGACAATTAAAATCCTCAGTGAACATATTTCACTAATTTACATCAACAAAACGTGTAACAATCCATGCACAGTAATTGCCAAAAGTGCAACAACCCTAACCCAGACCTTTGCATGTTACTCTCCCTCAACAAATACCTTCTGGAATGAAGTACATGAATTTAGTGTAATGTTCCTCAATCTGTTCAAGCCTAACCAACTGAAGGCAATTCTCAATATCCTCTCCCTATGGAATCTCAAACATTGAGCAGGAGCAACAAAATCATCTATCCTTTGGCCAACTAAAAGAGAGCTATTAGATGCACTCTAAATTCACATAGATCTGTTGACATGGGCTGCAACTAGACATGTGCATTAGTTTTCTAAAACATTTACTAAAACATAAACGAAAGCACTACAAATGAAATATAAACAAAACGAAAGGGGAAATGCCAAATGCATTACCTTTTCGTTTAGTTGTGTTCGTTTAATAGACTCCGTGCTGCAGGGGAATTAACCCCCACAGCATGGAGAAATAACAGGGAGCATGTGGGACAAAGAAAAAGCAAGGAGGGAGCCGGCAGCGCGACCAGCTCCCTCCTTGTAATAAATAACTATTCCTACCCCCCACTGCATTAAAACCTATGGGGGTACAATGACCCTCATATTAATAAAAAGGGAGGTTAAATCCTCCCGCATGCCCAGAGGAGAGGCATGTTGCCTAAACAGCGAGCAGCGAATGGCTGCTTGCTGTCATTTCAAACTAAATATAAATCAGTATAGGGGTCACTATGACCCCCATATTGATAAAAGGGAGGTTAAATCCTCCACATGCCTAAATTGCCTAAACAAATTTAAAACTACTAGTGACTGGGCAGCTATTGACCCATTCACTAGTGCAATGAGGGGAGACCAAGCACAGGTCCCCTGTTCCCCCATGGTGGGGAACAAAATATAACTATGCCGATTTATACATATACTCTTTATATTTAGTTAACTAGCGGAATCCTTTTATTTAGATTACTGTTTTAGCCACTCCAACAATTGTTTGGATATCAGTTTAATGTTCATCCATTATTTAATCTTTTCTTTACTGATATTTATGGCTTTGTTCATCTACTAATTTAAATGTCTCAGATATTTAGAGGACTTATATAGTCCAATAGCACACTATTGATATTTTAAGTGACAGACTTTATAATCAATTGTCGAGCCACTAGGTTGGGGTTTTTTGAATTTGTGGCATATTATTAGCCACTATGGCTAGTAACAGTTCTGTATATTGCTTTATATTCATTTGAGTAGACCTATATGGTCCATAAGCTTATTATTGATATCTTAGGTGTCAGAATCCATAGTTGATTATTGATTTGTTAGTTTGGTGTTCTGACAGACCTTATAATCAATTGTTGAGCCATTAGGTTGGTTTTTGCATTTGTGGCATATTACCAGCCACTATGAATAGTAACAGCTTTTTATATTGCTTTACATTCACTTTTTCATAGGACCAATATGATCCATAAGCTTATCATTGAAACCCAAGTGTCAGACTCCATAGTTGATTATTGATTTATTAGAT